ATGAAAATGTTGGTGAGGTAACCCGGAGACATACCGCGGGATATCCTATACATTTCAATTCCCAAAAAATAGAGTCGCCTGTTCTTCACTGACAACCATCCGAGTTGATGACGAAAAGGTGTAATATGCTCATCACGTCTTAATTTAAATATGAAGCGAATCGCGCAGTTAATTAGTCTTTGCAATCTGGTGTCAAGCTCGTCAGTGACATCATTGTACACTAGGGAACAATAATCAAGCAAAGGCCAAATGAGTGCGGTCACAAGTCTCACCCGTAACTGACGCGATAAGGAGTTCCTGTGAAACTTGAGCTTATAAAGCGTAAAGTGGACTCTTTTGGAAATATGGGAGACATGGCTGACCCAAGATAGGTCAGATCTCATGATAACTCCCAGGTTACGCGCCTCAGTCACGTAGGGAATCGAAACACCACCAACAGAGATAAGAGGAAGGTCGTTGAGGTTAATTTGTTTCGTGTTGCTTCTGCTTCCAAATATCAAGACCTTGGATTTATTGAGGTTGAGGGTCAGTCCATTTGAGGCCGCGAATTCAGAGACAACACTCACATCGTGCGCCACAAGTTGCAGCCCGACATTTAGTTGACTCAAGAGACACCTACGGTAAATTTGCGTGTCATCAGCAAATATCAAATGGTCCGTGAATCTTAGGAACGCGCCGATATCGTTAATAAAAAGAGAGAAAAGGAGTGGTCCAAGGACGGATCCTTGCGGGACGCCGGCGGTGACAGACAGCCACTCTGAGAAGACGCCCTCCAAATCAACGACCGCTTGAAGACGACCGGTGAGGTACGAAAAAATTAGTTTCAAGGCTTGGTCAGAAAAGCCGAGTTTCCTGAGCTTGGTAAGAAGCAGCGGATGAGAGACAGTGTCGAAAGCTTTACTGAAATCAAAAAGAACGAGAATCAGTACCTCACCTACGTCAACGCCACTCTTGATGTCATGAGCTAGTCGTAAAAGAGCAGACTGGGTCGAGTAACCTTTACGGTAACCAGACTGCCTGTCGTCAAGAATGCGATGAGAATTTATAAAGTCTGTGATTTGGCGATGCATAATTTTTTCAAATAATTTGGAGAGCTCACACAGGTTGGCTATAGGTCTCGTGTCGGAAGGAGAGGCAGGAGATTTAATTTTGGATAGCGGGCGTAGAATGGCTCGTTTCCACAATGACGGGAAGTAACCGAGCTTGAGACAACCGTTGAAGAATGAAGTAAGGAGATTACCCACGTGAGGCAGGGCCAACGCTATGGCATGAAGTGGCAGGTGATCGCAACCCGAAGCAAGAGAAACGGAAGATGAAGAGACGAAGGAGCATAAATCATCGACGGATATCTGAGAAAAACTGAATGAAGGAGTGTCAGGAACTATGGATGAAATGATGTCGGAAAATTGAGATTGTGTACAAGAGGGAAAGCAATTGGAGATGGAAGCATAATGAGCATTCAGAGTGTCACGAGAAAAGTAATTTAGCGGTGAGGATAAAGGTGATTCAATGAGGCCGAGACCAGCGAGCTCACGCCACAGCTTAGATGGCCGGGAAATCGCGGATAATCTCGCCATATTGAAGTGCTCTCTGGCCTTCCTCATATCTACTGTGAGATTGTTCCTATATAGCCTATAAATATGAAAATCTAGGACACTGCCAGATCTTCTGGCGATATTGTATAGGCGGTTGCGGTGCTGAATTCGACGAGCGAGAGCGTCGGTGAGCCAAGGTGCTGAAGGACGATTTACTCGAAAGGTGCGGACGGGCGCATACCTGTCGAGACTGGAAGTGAAATCATTGGTTATCGTACTTAGAATGCTGTCTAAGTCAGGCTCGCCGAGGCTCGCCTGGCCAAAGTCAGCCGCGAAGGATGAAGACAACATGGATGTGAGAGTCTCAACAAAACCATGCTCGTCGAATTCCCCGTAACTGCGACGAGTCAACGTACGGTCAGTAGGAGAGGGAACAGCAAATGAATACGTGAGCTCAATTAGGTCGTGACCATTGATAAAGGGTGCATCCGATTTTCGAAACGAAGAGACCTTGTCCAAGCTATCCACAATAAAAACGTCCAGCCACGAGTCTGAAGAGCTAGTGTGATAAGTCGAATTTGACTCAACAATGTTGAGCGACAATTGGGAGACTATGTCTCTGAGGTGATTGGATTCGTATGACGAGGAGAGGAGATTGGAGTTTAGATCGCCTGAGATGATAATATTCTTATAACTATGCATTGCCGAAGTGAGAGCATCCACACACCTGCCGAAATTTCTTCCTCGCGGTCTGCGGTACATCGAGGTGAACAGAAGAGGCTCGTAAGCATCACCACGAACATCGAGTAGAAGAAATTCGGGCTCGTTGGAGAAGGACGAAGGCGACGATGCCAACACGCGAGCGCGCAGCGAGTCATGGATGAAGCAAGCAACACCTCCTCCCTCCCTGCCCTCCCTGTCGACTCGTAACAGACAGTAACCTGGGATACGAACTAAGTCGTCAGAGATATGAGAGTGTAACCAGGTTTCAGAGATCGAGATTATGTGAAAAAAGTTTGACCTTAAAAGAACGCGGATTGACTCGATATGGGCAGGGAGGGAGCAGGCATTGAAGCACGCAATCCGGAGATGACCACGCGAGGCAGGAGGAACCACAGCTCCCGTCGAGAGTCACTGGAGCCTATCAAGATCAGCCTCGGAGGCGATAGGAATCGGTGGCTGGCCACGGTCCTTGCGGACGAAAACACGCCCGTCGCTGCTCCACACGTGCCCGAACGACAGCTGCTTCGCCCTGACTCGCGCTTGGCGCAATAACTTGTAAGTGTGACTCGGGAGCAATTCATTTATATAAATGTTGCCAGGTCTGCTAGTTGAGAAAACGTCGCTAACAGGGAGTCGGCGCCTAACGCGCATGACCTTGATAATGTGGTCACGAATCTCACGCGACTTGAGCGCGACAATGATCGGTTTGCGCCGATCCCGAACGTCCGCACGATCGACGGCAGGGGCGGACGCGGACGCGGACGCAGCATCATGATCCGACGACGCAACACGCGTCGCAACATCACGTGTCTCGAGAACGTCGGAGACAAGCTGAGGGATTCCCAGCGCACGAAAAACACACTCAACGAGCTCACAAGATGACTCGGTAACAGAAGATGGGATGCCAGAGATTATTAAATCCGACGTTCGAGGGACACGCAATGCTGCAGACAGATCCCTCTCAGTATCCTCGCGGGCACACGGGACAAGCTGAGCGGCCTTTAAAGCCTGCACGTCGCGCGCCAGAGCAGAACTCTCTTGCTCAAGCTTGTCAATGCGCTGCGTGTTAAGAGCGACGGTGTCCGCAATGAGACCGAGCCTATTCAATTTATCATTGATCTCCTTGTTTGTACGACGCTGCTCCTCGACGAAGGCAGAGAGTTTAGCATCCGAATCCCGTAATTGTTCACACAGTTTCCGGAACATGACATCAATCGAGGCGTGATCATGAGATTGCACCCGAGCCTGTACCTGAGTCTGCATCGGAGCACATGATGATCCACCCGAAAAATCGAAAGCGTGCACATCAATGGCCGGTGAAGGAGGGGCGACGAGCGAAGCCGACAGTGCTCTGCAGCAAGTATCCGCATACTTGGTTGCAGCGTGGGCCTTGATGCAGCCGGGATGAAACACCCGCTTGCACACCAAGCACTCGAGCACCTGGTTGGCGATCGACTTTTTGCACTTGACACATGTACGCGATTCCATGTTCGACACACGAGTGGCCCAAGTTACACGACGCGACTATGTAGACAGCCCAAGTTACACGACGTGACTAAGCAGTCGACTGACATGGACCCGAGCACACTGTGTATGAGACAGCTCGAAGTCCCAATATCGATCGTCGAACGTCGATATCGACTCCAACTCGACGGCACGCCAGAACAGCAGGTGTAGGAAAGTACAGATCAAGCGGCAGGCACATGCGCAGAAAAGGACAGCATCCTCCAGGGAATGATTCTCAGAAATAATAGCGCAATAATGAGAACATTCGTCATGCAAATACCAGGAATCGGCGATAGCCCGATGCGTGCTAATAACAGCACGTGACGAGCAACAAAAGACTTGCAAGAACCTGCAACTAAAAAGCCCGAAGGCGGCTTGCGGCAGAAAAAATATGCACATAAAACAGGAGCAACACACAACGGACGCGCACACAGTGCACTCAAGAGAGAGAGAGAGAGAGAGAGAGAGAGAGAGAGAACAGGAAGAGCGAGATCTCTTTCTATATTCGGTGAAAAAAAAGGTCTGGCCAGGGTAAGCTAAGCGACAGGATTTGTGTAAGCTTGTGAAGAAACGGAAGAGCGTGGGGTGAAGGGTAGAGGTGGAGATCCGGATGTCGTCGGTTTGTAAAAGACATGTTTTGGCTTTTTGCGGATCTTTGTATCAACGGCGGATTTGCCGGATAAGTCACTTTTCACACCGACTCTTGTAATCTCTTGCAGCTTTGTATTGTAAATAAATTACAGGACGTAGGAAGAAAGGCTCGAACTTTGAAGTTGCGTTGGGGATCTCAAAGCAAAAAGAAATCTTATATAAGGTGGATCCGTTTGCAGTTGCATAATGTTAAAGGTGAAACAATTGAAAGAGTCTAGAGAATAAATAAAGTATAATTTAATTTACAATTGCAACTTATGTTTAGAGAATTTAAATTTAGGGCGTATAATTATTAAGAGATTTAACGATAATAATTAATAAGTTATTAAGTCCAAAATTTGTAATTAATTTATTGCTGTTTTCATTGTTTTAATGATCCATATATTACTTTGCTAATCGTCAATTGTCAATTTAAGAAAGCAACGAAAGTATATACGACTTTATTTCAGCTATGTGCCAAGAAAGGCGTTTTTTCAGTAAAAACGGGCCCAAAAACCTTTACAAGTCATGGCATTCAATTCCCAAAACAATTTGGCCATTATGCGACCTCACAAAATTATTTAACCCTTCCTCTTATTAACTCTATTAACATCTTTCTCCGTATCCTTCCTTCTGCTCCTTATAGTTCCTGTAGCTCAACCCTCTCTTTCCTTCCATCTGTCTTCCTTGCGAGCTTTTTCTCTTATCTTCCTTCTGACTCGTGTCCTCCGTCTCCTGTCGTACCTTACCTCCAGGCTCAACGCCTTCTACAACAATAAAAACAGTAAAATGCGGTCTCCTTCAACTATTTTCAGCCTCCTTTAATTTTTTACTTCCTTCAATTCTTCGACTTCCTTCAATTTTTCGGCCTCCTTTGATTTTCCGGCTTCCCTTAATTTTTCGGTTTTCTTCGATTCTTTGGCTTCCTTCAATTTTTCGATCTCCTTTAATTTTTCGGCTTCCTTCCGTTCTTCGGCTTCCGTCAATTTTTTGGCCTCCTTTAATTTTTCGGCATCCCTCAATTTTTCGACTTCCTTCAATTTTTTCGATCTGCTTTACTTTTCTGCCTCACCCAAAAAAAAATATTCTGCCGATAAGTGGGGAATTCTTCTTAGCAGTTCCTCTAAGCAAAAAATCTTACATGAAGAATATCCTTCTTTAAGTAATACGTATTACTTTATAAATGAGTGGATGCGTAAGCTATAATCAAGAGTAAATTCCTCTACAGTAAATTCTACTATTAGCCTCTTAAAATAAGAGGATATGCTAGATATTTGCGGCGCGCGCGTTAAAGTTAAAAGACGATCGTCTTATTAGCTACGCGATGCGTACGCTACCACACGAGACGCCCGTGTAGAAAGTTCAGCCCCTTGCACAATGCCAGGCAACAGGCAATAGGAACAGGAAATAATAAAAAATCGTTAATTACAACCTAAAATATTATTCGAATGTTATGATTTGTTGGCAACAGGCAATAGACACATAATTTCCAACGTGACGGAAACTCCTGTGTCTATTGCCTGTGTCACTGTTTATTCTGCATTTATACATTGATTTCTGATTTTTATTCCCTGTTCCTATTGCCTGTTGCCTGGTATTGTGCAAGGGGCTTTATTGAGAATGACCTTATATAACATAAGTCCTCGATCATTAGTTATATATTAGGGATGCCATAAAAAAGATTTCTTTATTTTAACCTGATGAGGTCCCTATCATTATTTATTAGGGATTCCATAAGAAAGGTTTCCTTATTTTTATCTAATAAGATCCTTGTAAGGATTTGATAAGGATATTTTAACTTCATAAATACTTATTTATTAGGGCTAACCGGATAAGGTCCCGATCATTATTTATTAGGGATGCCATAAGAAACGTTTTCTTATTTTTGTCTATTGAAGCCCTTGTAAGGATTTGATAAGAATGTTTTAACGTTTTAAAAACATACTATTTTACATACTTATAAACATACTATTTTCATAAATATATTTACGAACACAAAATTTCATAATAAGCCGGCACTGGTTTCTGACATTCACCCGACATTAAGAAATATTATATCATATATCTTATATCCAATTCAAAATTTTATTACTCTTTTTAAACTGAATTTGTTTATTAAGATGATTTTTGGAAAATTATATATTTGCGCTGGTTATGTAGACAATATATAACACTTACATCAAATTAAGAAGTGGTCTACCATGTAAGGCAGTTGGCTCACGATCCAAAGGTCCCGAGTTCGATCCCACCAAGGTAAGTGTTTTTTCCAATACAAAAAAATATTTATAATCATAGACTACATCTTAAGAAACAAATTTAGTTATAAAATAGTAATAAAATTTCAAAATAAATAATTTTTTTTATTTATTTCGGGTGAATATCGGAAATCAATGTCCTCTAATATTAAGAGGACTGCACAATCTTGAATCTAGAGTCTCATGATTAGAGGATATTCCTCTACAGTTTAAAACATCTTCTTAAGGCCCTATTTCAGAGGAAAATCCTCTAGCATGAACCAGGAACCGCTAAACTGCAGAATATTTTTTTTTGGGTGCTCCTTTAGTTTTTCTGCTCCCTTCAATTTCGACGTCCTTTAATTACTCTGCCTCCTTTAATTTTTCAACTACCTTCGATTTTTCGGCTTTTTTCGATTTTTCGGTCTTCTTCAATTTCTCGGCCTCCTTCAATTCGTCGGCTTCCTTCAACTTTCGGTTTTTCGGCCTCCATTAATTTTACGGCTTGAAAGCAACGAAAGTATAGCGATGCACTCAAAAGTCAGGAAGAAACGCTAAAGCAACGTTTATTTTCACTATAGCATTCATAAACACTGATACCTATATATAAAATTTAAATTATTATTACTGTTATTTTAAATAATTTTGTACATTGATTTTATGAATCAAATTACGTATAATTTATTTTAAATAAAATTGCGTGTAAAATAAAAAAGTAATTAAGTAATATATAAGTAAAATTTTTTTAAAAGTGAAAATTTATTTTAATATCTATAATTTTTTATTTTATAAATTAAAAAAACAATTAATTTATCAATATACCAATAAACTTTGCATCAGTTTTCCGCATAATATAATGCATGGAATCCGCTTCTTTTTACGATTCAACCATCGTAGCGGTGAATGCGAATGGCTTGAAATGTGTCTCTACACTTCGGTGACGTTTCGCTGTGGCCGCTCGAGACGAATGAGCTCGTCTCACTCGCGATCGATGGCATCGGAAGAGCACGACCAGCAGATCGTTTCCTCGAGAAAAACAAGTGGCGACTCGGACGAGTGAAACGCACACTTGCGGCACTCCGATTTTCCTCTCATTGAATTCAAGTCGAGGCTCCTGCACCTATCTATCCGCCCCATTGTTTGACGTGGATTCAGGCAACAATGGCAACGAGAGCACCACCGCCGGTATTTATTACCGCCGATTTTCCGGATGATGGAAAATCGTGTTGCACGTGCTCGAGGAATAGGTGTGGCGGAAAAGGAGCGAGAGAGAGAGAGAGAGAGAGAGAGAGAGAGAGAGAGAGAGAGATTTGATTTGATTTGATTTGATTTATATTTATGCCCTAGTCGAGACTTTAGGCAAATCTTGATACAATAATATATAAAGACCGCAGAATAATACATAGCAAAAATAAATAAGAATAGAATTAAAATAAAAGAAAAATACAAATAAAAATGAACAATAAAAGAAAGAATATACATACAAGAGGAACATAAACGAACAAGAAGTCGAACAAGAGAGAGACCCGGTATTGAGCATAACTAATTACATTTACTCTCTCACTTATGCGACGACCTGCCCGTGAATCATAGTTCAATCATAAATGAACAACTTAACTAAACTTAAACTTAAACTTAAACTAGACCCGGACTGAAGGTGGCTCTGCAGTTGAGCCCTGATCGCTGTTTAACTCGAGTGAAAAAAGGTAATTATAAAGCTTATTCTTGAATTCGGTGACTGAAGAGGACGACACAATCTCAGCGGGAAGGGAGTTCCACAAGTAAATACCGGCCAGGTGGAAGGACCTTCGATACGACTCCGTTCTGTGGTTAGGTATGACAAAAGTTTGTGGAAGTTCCAACCGTAACGAACGTCTAATTAAGGGATCAGATCTGATAAAGATCTCGGAGAGATAACTGGGAGACATGCCTTTAGATATCTTATACATCTCTGCTCCCAGAAAATAACGACGTCGATTTTTCACTGACAACCACTTTAGACGATGCCGATAAGGCGTGATACGTTCGTCCCTCCTTAAATTAAAGATAAACCGTATAGCACAATTTATGAGTCTTTGTAATTTCAAGTTGAGTTCATCGGTAAGATCATTATAGACCAGGGAACAATAATCTATTAAAGGCCAAATCAGCGTAGTCACAAGTTTGACACGCAGTTGATATGATAGAGAGTTTTTGTGGAACTTAAGTTTGTGTAACGTGAAATGCACTCTCTTGGATACATGGTTGACGTGGCTCTTCCAGGACAAATCTGAGGTCATTATAACACCCAGATTTCGAGCCTCAGTAACGAACGGGATGGTGGTGCCGTTTACCGCGATAAGAGGCAGATTGTTAAGATCAATCTGCTTGACATACCGCCTGCCTCCCAGTATTAAGACCTTAGAATTATGGAGATTAAGCGACAACCCATTCACAGCCGCGAATTCTGCGATAACCCCCACGTCATGCGCCACCAGCCGCAGACCGACGTTCAGTTCACTCAAGAAGCACTTGCGATAGATTTGCGTGTCATCGGCAAAAATTATGCGCTCCGTAAATCGAAGAAAAGCACCGATATCATTAATAAATAAGGAAAATAGGAGCGGTCCAAGAACTGATCCCTGCGGGACACCTGCGGTAACGAACAACCAATCCGAGAAAACGCCCTCCAAGTCCACGACCGCCTGAGATCGACCAGTGAGATACGAGAAGATCAATTTAAGGGCAGAATCAGAAAATCCCAATTTCCTTAGCTTGTTAGCAATAAAAAATGAGAGACTGTGTCGAAGGCTTTACTAAAATCAAAGAGGACAAGAATGAGAACCTCGCCCACATCGACCGCGCTCCTAATGTCATGAGCTATTCGAAGAAGAGCAGTTTGGGTAGAATAACCCTTGCGATAACCTGATTGACGATCGTCAAGAATATTATTAGAAGTAATGAAATTGACGATCTGACGGTGCATAATCCTCTCGAAAACTTTGGAAATCTCACACAGGTTCGTTATAGGCCTTGTATCTGAAGGAGAGCCTGGTGACTT